ACTGAAGTAGTTGATTAAATAATGTATTTTCTTAGAAGGAAGAACAGAAATTGGCCGATAATTTGAAACTTCTGTTGGATCACCAGATTTAAAAATGGGAGTAATCTGAGCAAACTTCCAGGCATCAGGGAAAATAGACTGCACAATACATAAATTAAGCAAACGATGAAACAATGGTAAAAAAGTGTTGGCATGCATTTTCAAGAAATCCATTTTTATCTTATATTTGTCAAATGCATGTGAGCCATTTAGAGATTGGAGTGTATTCAAAACATCACTCTGTGAAATTTCAGAAAATGAAAACTGCTTTGAAGTGTCAGGATATTTAAATAACTTTAAACAATTAGCATGTCCTGGTAATGATGTCCTTACTGAAGAAATAAAATATTCATTAAATAAGTTAGCAATTTTTTCATGATCAGAAACAAGAAGTCCTTTTACTGAGATTTGTGAACTGTTATTAAATGTTTTATTGTTACTTTCACATGTCACTGATTTAATCGTTTCCCATAATATTTTTGGATTCTTACTGGCTGAAATAATTTGATTTTTAAAATATTGTAGTTTGGCTTTGCGTAATTCAGCAACACATTTATTTCGTAACTGTTTAAACGAGACCGATTTTCAGAAGTTTTTGATATTCTATAAGTTTTCATTAAAGAAGCTTTCAACTATAGGAGATGTACAGTATTATAGAGGCATTCAAACATGGAATTTTATTTTTCCGGACTGGAACTTTACAAGTTGAAATATATTTTTCCTGTATTGTCTCCAACTTATAAAAATTTGACAAAATGAGATTTTCTTCGCTGAATGGCGCACACTTCAAAGCTTGAATAACATGGTTCCCATCAGATTAGAACTAATAAAAACACGGACGTCTGGGATTTAATGTTGTAATGCCAGAAAGAAGCGGATTCACAGAATGGATGTGTTGCATTAATATTTCTCATTTTATGAGTTAAAACATTTCTTGGATTCAATGAAATTATTCACTGTACCGATCACCTCGAACTGAAATTCAATCCATGGTCATATCTGCTTGGTATTATTTGGCTTTAAATTCCTAAAGTTTGGAGCTGGATTTAGATTATTTATTTATTTTTTTGTTCACCAGGATGCAAAATAAAGTACAACCAGTTTGTTTATTCTTCTCTTTTTTTATTCTGAAGAAGTGGAATGTCAGAGTTCGAGATGCACCCGGCTTGTGACCCAAACCAGACAAAATTCCGGCTAATTATTAAAGGGGACCTATTATGCAAAATTCACCTTTTAAAGGTTTTTTTTTACACAACTTTGGGTATGTACTTCTTAAAAAAACAGTCCTAGGACCAAAAAAATGCACCCAGGGGCATATTTACTGTAAGTAAATGTATTTTTAATGTATATTAACTACAAGTTTTATACTTCTATCATTTTGTGATGTTACAAGCCGTACGACAACCCACCGCAACCTGCGTTCAGCACCTTACCTAGCAAACCCCGGGTGAAACTCCACCTCCTCAGTATAAAAAGCTGTCATGGTGTTGTTGTGTAATGCACAGCTCATTTCACAACAAGTCTCCAATAGGGCAATGGGTAGAGTGTTGGACCAGAGAGTAGGAGACCAAGGTTTGAGACCGGCACAGACACAATTTAATTATTTATTTATTTTTGTTCGTTATGAACACATTTTCTCATGTACCTCTATTGTTTAGCTTATTAAAGCCTTGTTAAAACCTATTTGTTCGAGTTTCTGAGGTATTTTGACCGTTGCCTCTGCCTCTGGGTCTCATATGGTTGTACAACAGAGCTTCTGCTATTATTAGCCATGCTAACGTAAACGCTGGCTTTGGAGGGCGGAGTTAATGTCAACAGATTTTTGGAGGGCATTACCAACAGAGCTCATTAACATAAACAGCTCTTCTGAACAGAAGTCAGAACAGGCAGAACTAGAAAATGGGAAATTTTATTATCTGAGAATTATTTTGTGCATTAAATTGAATGAACATGATCTGGATGGCCCACAGACATACCATAAAAATTTCTAGGACCCATAATTGGTCTCCTTTAAAAGCAAAAATGATCAATGATTCTATTAATTCTAGTTGTTTGACAGAAATCATCATTATTATGAGCACTGGCAGGTCCAAGCAGTACAGATATTGAACATTGGTATCGGTTCATTAAACTGGAAGTGTTGCATCTCTAATCCAAATATTCTAACTTCAGTTTCATAGTTTTTCAAATTATTAAAAAGAAAACGTAAGTTTTAACAGTCGATGCTGGTATAATGAGGTAAAGTCTCAGTGTGATCAGAACCATGTGTCCCTAATTTGATWATTGTTTTCAGACCTCAGCAGGGCCACTCCATGTGGCTCGTCCAGCACTGCGCCAGAGACATCTTGGAGGCTCTGTCCTTCCTTCACAGGGAAGGCTACGTCCACGCTGACCTCAAGCCACGCAACATCCTCTGGAGTGCTGACGACGAGTGCTTCAAGCTCATCGACTTCGGCCTCAGCTTCAAACAGGGAAACCAGGTTGGTGTTGGACAAACAGGAGCCGTCCTGACTGTGGTTTGGATTTATTCCAGTTTTCTGTTCTTTCTTTAGGATGTTAAGTACATCCAGACAGACGGGTACCGTGCTCCTGAAGCCGAGCTTCAGAACAGCCTGGCCCAGGCTGGGGTGGAGGGAGACTCCGGTTGCACGGCTGCTGTGGACCTGTGGAGTCTGGGGGTGGTCCTGTTAGAGATGTTCTCAGGAATCAAACTGAAAGACACTGTTGGTTTGGAGGAGTTGAAGGTATGGCAGTGCTCTCCCTCGGAATAAGTCAGTGTTGTCGATGTAAAGAAATTAAGAAGTTGTAAATAAAATAGATTTGTAGCATTTATTGATGTGTAGGAAGATTAAAACTAAGAAAAGTTCAGTAATGTAGGTTTTTCTGTGCTGCAGGAGAACAGTGCTGCCATTGTTGATCATATCTTCTCTAACAACAATCTGCTGTGCCCTGCCATCCCGGTTTATCACCTCAGAGACCTTATTAAAAGGTAAACTCGCTACTAAACCAGTGCTTTCCAACCCTTTGTCCTGAGTGCCCCCCTTTTTTCACCAACAGAAGAGGCAACACACCTGTCCCCACTAGGCATGGGACGATACCGGCTTCAAAGTATAGCATGGTGTCATCGTCATAAGCACAAAACGCTTCCATCAGATAGTTCCTACAGTTTAAATGCCTTATAATGAAATATAAAAGACAAGCGTCTTTATTATTTAGTTGTTTTCTTCCCTCCAGACACCTGAAGTGCTCAGCAGTGATTCCCCTCTCCTGCCGTTGCTCCAAGCTTTCGTTCAGTTGTGTATAGTTGACTAGGATTTGCTAATTTTTAAAAAAGCTCTCCTCTGTAGCTTGTACATTTTATCCAGCGGAGAGTACTGTCAGTGTTTGTCAAAGAAGAAAAGCCTTCTCTGTTTTCAATGTAGCACTGTTTTGAGTCAAACCTTTACAACAAGCTACAAGAGTCAGGATGTTAGCCAACTACTGCAGCTCACTACAGAGTCTAAGAGCCCAGCTAATTAATGACTAACTTAGGCTTTTACTGGCACCTCAGTGTTACTTTCTAAAGACCAGAACAGCTTTCTATAGCCTTGAGATACATGGTGCTCCAACTGGGCTTTACACATTCTTGTGAGACTAAAATGTTAATGTGGACATAGTAACATGCCTTGGAGGGGTACAATAGGAAGGAACGATCTTCCTGATCTGAACTTCTCAGTTACTGGATTTTTGTGTTAGTCACAGTTTGTCCATGAGGGATCACAAGGGTGTCCTTAAGTGGATTTGGCATCAGGACACCCTAAGTTTCAGGTCGATGATAGACTGATGTGTATGTATGTATATAAAATAGTAGTGTCCTATCGGTATCAGGCCTATCAGTACTCTGTTTTGGCGAGTATCCAATATGAAGTACTTGTACTCAGTTTGAGAAAAACTGGTCTCGAGACACCCCTAATATAAAATATACGTACATCTGAATAATGCAGAGGTGGCCAAGTACTTAAAAGAAATAAGTAAAAGTAATTTAACAGAAAACGGTTTGGGTAAAAAAGTACTTAAAATTGTTAAAGGGATCCATGATTAGTTTTAACGTTAGACTTTATTTGATAAACATATATTCAGTGTATATTCAACATACAACAGCGTTGGGGCTAATGCTAAAGCTAACAGGCTAAGCTGAGGTTCTTCTTCCATGAAGCAGCTCTGTTGTCCTCCATCTATATTTTCAGTTCCAGGCTGAGTCATTTCTACCTTCTCCTCTCTGTCAACGCTCTCTGGTTTCATTTAAAAGAGTCGATCATCAGATATTGTCCAAGATTCGTACTGATGACCTAGTTGATGTCATCATTTACCCAGAATGCTTTGCGTGTAAATAAAATGGCTCCGTCCGTGTTAAAAT